TTTTGTCCTCTCTAGCAAGAATACAAACTGGAATCTCGATGGTGGTCAAATCAACTTGAATCTCAAAGTCTGGTGCGTAAATCACTCTCTGCTGCTTCTCGTTGCGTAAATACTTCTTGAGCATCGAACTATAGAAAACATCGTGTACACCTAACATCGATGCTGGAAAATCTAGCCGATATGAAATGACTTTAACACGCTCAGCGACTCTAAATGGTCCAACATGTCTTGGGATAAGTTTTTCCTGTCTGTCAAATCGTTGAACACCTTTCATAGGTGACACCTTTAACATAACATAATCTCCAACCTGAAACTCCAATGATTGTCGCCTCTGATCTACGTAATTCTTTTGCCGACTCTGTGCCGCAAAGATACATTCCCGAATCAACGCCACTTTCTCCGTAGTTTGCCTCACGAGGTCCGGCCCAAGTAATAAGCTATCCTCTGACTCTGCCCAACAAATCGGGGATCTACAAGACCTCTTATTCAACGTCTCATACGGTGTCATACCTATCATCACTTGATAACTGTTATTGTAGGCGAACTCAATCAATGGAATATGATCCTCCCAGCTACCCTGAAAATCAATAACACATGCTTGCAACATATCATCCCATACTTGGTTGACTCTCTCCGTCTGATCATCTGTGTGCGGGTGGAAAACACTTCTATATGATAGCTGGCTGCCGAAAGAGTTCTGGAAGCTCCTTCAGAAATACGACGTGAAAACTAAGCCTCGATCCGGCACAATCGTCTCTGGAACTCTATGTAATCATATTATCTCCCGGATAAAAATCCTCGCATAAGTCTCTACAGTGTAAGTCGTCTTCACTGGTAAGAAATACGCCGACTTCATCAATCAATCTACGATTACCCAAATCGAATCGTTCCTTTTGCTGGACCTCGACAATCCTACAATAAAATCAATTGAAATATCTGTTCACTTCCACTCTGGGATGGATAAAGATTTTAGGGTTCCTGTGGGTCTCTGATGTTTTATCTTTACTTACTGACAGGTAAAACACTTAGTCACATACTCCTCGATATCCTTACACATACTGCTCCGTCAAAAATGCCTCTTCAGGTCCTTGTACATTTTGGTTGTGCCTGGATGCACTGTGTATCTGATGCGATGTGCCTCATCAAACAATTCCTTCTTCAACTGCGGATTATCTAGCATCACTAACCGACCCTTCATTCGAAAGCCCCCATCTGCTCCGATGGTCCATTCAGTCTTAGGCTCTTTGGAAATTTTTTTCTTTCGGGTTTGAACCCAAGAGTTTTCCAATTGAGTGTTGATTACTCTGGTCATCCATGATGACTGTACGTCTAATGCTCCCAATTAAAATCTACCTCCACTTTGGCTGGATTAACTGTAATGCCTTCCTTGCTAATGATATGACTTAAAAATCTGACGTCTGAAAGCCAAAACTCGGACTTGCTGAACTTAGTGTATAACTGGTGCCCCGTAAGGTCTACAATATCAATTGAAGATGCTGCTCGTGCTCTGCCTCCGATCTCGGATAGATAATGATGTCGTCAATGAATACGATCACGAACTGGTCCAAATATGGACGAAAAAACCTGGTTCATCAAATCCATGAATACCGCGGGTGCATTGATTAGCCCAAACGACATGACAAAAACTCGAAAGACCCATATCGAGTTAGAAAAGCGATTTTGGGAATATCCATCTTCCAAACTCGTAACTGATGATAGTCAGAATAAAGATCAATCTTCGAGAAATACTACGCTCCCTACAGCTGGTCGAATAAGTCATCAATGCTTAGTAATGGATATCTGTTTCGGATAATGATCTTATTCAACTCACGATAATTTATATATAAGCGCATACTACCGTCCTTCTTCACGAAGAGAATCGACGCTCCCACGGAGAATGACTCCGGCAAATGAAACCCTGAGACAAAAGCTCATCCAGCTGAGTCTATATATGAATTCTAAAAAACTCTATTCTAGCTCCACGATTTGACACATGATGATTCTAAAGATACTGGAACTAGAACTCTGATACCAACTGAGACGCATCTGTTTTCACACATGGCTGCAGTCTAAGGTATTCCCAGAGATGTCAAACCTGTTATGCACCCACATTGTGCAACAATACGTTTCACCATCATAGTAATATCTCTCTAGTTGAATCAACAATAAATATAGGTACAAAACATGTAAAATAAGGGAAATAAATGCATTAGACATGATGTAGAAAGAGATATCTAATAAATATAATCATATCTCAACTAAATAAACTGAATACAACTGAAGTCTGGAATAAATATGAAGTATCTCAATATGAGTCAACTAAAAATAAACTAAGGCACACAATCTTTACAAGATGAAATACAAAACTCTAAATATCCGAAAGAAAATATTAACTATGTTGGTGTCTCATCTACTAAAAATATGTGACGACGACTATATTAGAAGTCCTTAATCCTGTGGCTCTTCGAAACTCTGAGCTGCTGCCTGAAAGGAATTGGAAAATAAAAAGAAAAACAACAAGAACGTCAGAGCGCTACAGCAAGATCATCTCCATCCGCCCTCAGGAAAAGGGCTACTAGATGTGATGGAGGTTCTATCTATTAAGTATATTCTGCCTAGATCATTTACCCTGTATCTAAATGGAATTAATATTTAGAAACCTACAACACGAGACGTAGTATGTCAAGCGAAATAATCCAAATAAGAAAACCCTCATGTATATACCATATGTCTCAAATTATAGATAACTAAATATCAATACCGGACTAAGAATAAACAATCTAAATAGAATCAATAATTAGAAATTCACAATACGAAACTGGTATGTCGAGCGAAATAATCCAAACAAGAAAACCCTCATGTATATACCATATGTCTCAAATTATAAATCGCTAATTATCAATTCCAAACTAGGAATAAAGGAAAGCAATACAAGAAAGTAAGGTCATCACAATATCGGATCAAAAATATCTTCCACTATCCCTTAGAAGATAATATAAACAATATTATATAATCCCGCGTACCTACAAGAGTAAAGTACCTCGGTCATATATAACTCAATAATGAGTCATGTTCATAATAGCGTCCACCAAGACTCAGGCTATTAGATAATTATCACAATATAAATTCTTGCAAAGTTTATAATTCATCGCATTATCATGCGGGACAAACTACCAAATTGGCATCCTAATAGTGTACATGGTTTATTAGTCTCATCGTATTAACGTGCGGGACAGACTACCAAATCAAGACATCCTAAGTATACGGCTCACAAGCCTCATCTCATCTACGTGCGGGACAGACTACTAGATCAAGCATCCTAAAACCCGACTCAATTGCATGTACTAATGGTAATCGACGTACTATCCCAAGTAGTATTGAGTGGTGCTCATCAATGATATCTATACATGTATATAATATTTAAATAACTCATATCTCCCGTGTAATCAAAATAATAACTGTATTAATCCTCTTCGGGATGCACATGTGTGTGCTACAACACTATACGTGTATACTCATGATTATACGTATATCATCGTACGCCTCGAACCCCGCGTTTGAAAACAAAATATGTAAAAACAACACTTCAAACAAAAGAGAACACAGGTCGGTTGATCGCCCCTAGGGCGTTGGTCGATCGAATGCAAACGTGCACAAAATGCACTCACATGATCTCACCGGTCGACTGGCTAGCCTTGGTTGGTCGACCAACCAGAGAAGATCTTCACAGATTAGGTTTTGGCGTTTGTATTTTTGTAACTTTATCCAAAAACTTAATTTTATTAACATGAGGCATATAACAAGATTAAAACTTTCATATTTTCTTAACATGGATTAACTTAACATGATTTAAACTCTTGAATTAATCTAGTTAGGGTTTAGCATCTTAATTAACCAAAATTTCTCAAATAAAACATAAATTATCAACATGATTAACTAAGCATGATTGGAACTAATCATTGAACAGATATAAAATAATTTAAACACGTTCACATCACTTAAGTATCACAAACCTAGAGTTTATATATCTTAAATTAATAAGAAAACTTAATTAATTATTAAACTAGGGTTTAAATATGATTTAAGCATGATTAATATATTAAAATGAAAATAAAAGCAACCCTAATGATCATGATCATCAACTAATATAAACAACTAAATCTACAAAATTTCCCATTGGTTTAAAGATTAACATCATAAACTAAGATTTTAAAATATCGGGTTAAGTTTTAACATGAGATTCTTCAATTAAACATCTTAAATCATAAATTAACTATAGGAAAAGGTTTGGAGAAAGATGATCTTTCCTCAAATGTCGTGTTGAACTCCTGAACACGTGCGCGCAATATCCCTCTTCACCAAAGTCGCAAAATCCCGCCTTCCTCTCGACAAACGCCTTAATAACTCTCCCAAATCTCACAAATTATGATTAGGGTTTGAGAGAGAGGATGAGGGGTTGCTAGGGTTTGGAATACTGATGAAAAAATGTGTTTTTCATGTGTAAACATGTATATATATATATATATAATATATATATAACTGCAAACCCGAATCAAAACAGCCCAAACCCGAAACAGGAAACCTAGTCAGACTGAGAGAATAGTCTTCGGTATTTTGGCTATAACTTTCACGTATGACCTCGGAATGAGGTAATTTAAGATGCGTTGGAAAGCTATTGAAGATACCTATAACTTTTGTGTTTTTAGTTTTTCCAGATTTGAACTGTATCGGTGTGTAATGCAGATATACTCTTAACTGATCATTTTTCCAGATTTCTTCTTTGTGCATGTTTAACCTTTGTATACTCTCATATATACTCTTAATTGATCTCAAATTAATTGTTAGCATAATCGTTTATCCATAAATGATATTCATTATAATTAGAGCTCATTTATCAATATAATTCACACTATTTTCCAAAATTCACGGGGTTTTTCAACATGTACATATAATAATATTATGGAAAAATACTTGAGCCCTCTCTTTTTTGTTGATGTCAGCTTTTATAGCGAGGTTGAATATTGGTGAAGAATTCCTTATGGGAATAAATACCCTTCCAAACTTCAAAGATTCAGAAAGTTCTGATTATCTTCATGTTCAGTCAAATACTGATAATGGTGCCAAATTCTCTGAACCTGATGAAACTACTGAAGGTATTCGTACATCCATAAATGCTTCATGCTATTATTCAATCATGAATTTATGTGTATTTCATTTATTAGACATTACTCATGCTTTCTTAATCCTATTGAAGACAGGACACTATATCCATCATTAACCTTTTGAAGCTTTTTTTTTTGGTTCCAAAAGGAAAATGTTTTCATTATTTTATTTTCATGTCTATGTTTTAAAGGTGTACATCATTACTTTCTTGAGAACTTATGAGCTCTGCCAGCTTCTTATGATTAATTTTTTTTTAATGTATAGTTCTCTTTGTAGGCTTTGTTTAGAGGTTAGATGACAAGGTGAATAGAACCGTTTTCTCTGAAAAATTGAACCTTATGGTTCAGAAGGTTAACAATATTTTATATTATTTCTGTTTTCTGCTTGTCTGTGCAATTCAATGTGGCATGAACAAAGATGTCCCTAGAGAGGATAAGAAATTTATGAAGGGCACTTTCTCTAGAGGCTCAACATTGATGAAACCAACTGCAAGTCATCTGGCCAAGCAAAACCATCTTCGCGAAGTAAAATGTTATCACCTTGTGCACAGGTACTTTTTGCTATCCTTAAAATTTATTCTTGAATAATTTGTCTGGATTATGTTATCCCATGCAAATATTCATTCGGTGATGTTTTCTAATGTATTTTCTGTTTTCATCCTTTTTTTCAGTCTCTGATTGCAATTTTCATATACTTTTATGATAAATATATAATTTCATTTTACTTTTTTGTTTAGCTTAACATAAAAAATAACAATATTGACTTCCCATTTCACTCTATTTGTTAGGTTCCCAAAACCAGGTATACAAAAGCGTGTGGTAATCATTGAGGATTCATCTGAGATTGGGGGTCATTCTTCCAAACGACAGAAGCTTGAGGGAGGTCATCTGCGGAAGGTGTAATAAAGATTTTCCTTCCTATTTATTGATGGCTTTCAATTGTATTTGTACACTTATTGTAGTTGCTGTATTTAGTTAAACACTTCATTCTACACTACAGGTTGCTCATCTGAAAGAACCGGCAGATTTGTTGCACAAGGCCCCCCAAAAAGTAATCTTTTTTTTTAATCCTGAATAATAAGGATTGTTTCTTTTTCTATGATTCCTATTTCTATCTTAAATTGTCTGACTAGTCAACTTAACTGATAATTGTAAAACTGTATAGTTTCAACAATTATGGTTTGATATGCAAAACTTGTCTCATCTTTAGCTGTGATTTTTTTTCCTTAGCAAAATATTTTTTTCTATCTTCCAAATGTTAGTTTATTGTTCAAGACTTTGTAAATCATCTGTTCTGTTCCTATGGGGCCTTCTTCTCAAAGTTCTTGTATCGAGTCTTGTCCTTCAGCGCCAGCAAGATTTACACCAGCTAACAGACCCGTTGAGTCTTTTTGCTACTACTGCTTTCTCCTTTGGCTTTTATCTGTTAAGTGTGAACTCTGGGCATCTTTCATATCATCTGTGGATGCTGATATTGTGACAATAGTTTGGCTAGCACATTGAGTAAACATGCTCACATTTCTTTTCTGAATGGACCAGAAGAGTGTGCCTATTGATTTTAATCCTCATAACTCAAGATTAAGAATCACAATTCCAAGAGAACCTGAACTAGAGACGGCGCAAAGGGCACAAAGACAGAGGGTTCAAAGGTTAAGGTTGGCTAACTTATAAACCTCATAAAGTATGCTGTCTATCCACACTGGTTATGATATCTAAAATATTCACGCACGTCTATAATATGATTCAGGAATGATGATGTAAAGCAACCACCGGAAGCGAAAGCAACAACTATACCAATATTCAGAGCACGCCCTTTAAACAGAAAAGTTGGTAGTTCTATATTTCTTGCATTTTCTCAAAATCCTGGTTATTTTGTTATAAACAGTCTTTGGTTATAACTCCACAGATTCTTGAGGCTCCTTCTCAAAAGAAAACACCTCGGTTGCCTGCGTTTCAAGCTGGCGTTCAGAAAAAAAGAAGGTAACAGCAAAATTTTGATTTTTTTAAACACGTGATGCAGGACAAATTCAAATATCTGATTTGATTCAGATTGTAGAAGATAAAGTTGTTAGGAATTTAAAATTATATTGTATTTTAAATAGGCTAGAAATATTTATTGGATTTTATTTCCGTTAGGATAGAGTTGAATTTACTTAATTTGTTTTATAGATTAGGTTGAATTGATTTGAGAGATAGAATTGGTTTTTATTTTGTTTATATAAAGATTTCAAACTCTATAAAAGAGTGAAGGGAATTCTTGTAAGGCAATAGAGATTTTATGATGAATAAAATTATGTTGCACATGAGATTTTTGGAGTGATTCCTCAAGGAGTGAAGCCATCTTCCAAGTTAAATGTCTGTGTGTGAAACCGGTCTAACAACCTATCTTCAATATTTAGTTTATCTTGTGCTTTAAAATTGTAAAAAGGTTACTGTCCACAGACTGTTGGACACTGTTATTCAGCTGTACTGTTCATCCAAAAGTTTTTTTCCTGGCGTTTTTCTGTTTTCCATCAACATGCTCCGAAGATCTTGCTTAACATTGATTTCATGTGTTTGATAAACCAGCATTTTCAATGATTATGGTACACTAAGTTGCATGGAAACGGGCACGGGTACGGGTACGGGTGCGGGTGCGGGTACGGGACACAGCAAAACTGTAAAATTTAGGGTACGTGGACACGACTATATATATATATGGCTTGCATGAACACAGTGATTCTCTCAACCGGCGCACCCCCGCCCCCCCCCACCACACCACACACACACACTGTGGTCAGCCCCTATCCGCGTCAACTATAATGCCCTCCTTGATGCTTATGTTCTTTTTCACACTCATCTCTTGATGTACCTGGCAGAATCAAACCTTTTCCTAAGGTAGGGATGTCAATGTAATTGTCACCAATGATTTGTATATGGACGTCTATGTTTTACCCGGGTATTCTATAATGAAGCCGTAACCCGTACCCGACACGTACCCGACACCTTTCCCGTACCCCAAAACTTCATAGGAGCACTTCTTGAATATATGCAGGCATTTATTACAACATGTAACTCAATTATACGATATACTGTGTTTAATTTAAAACACTTGTCAAAGACTTCGCTAAAACGTAAAGCTTACACTTCAGCATCCCCGTCTTTTGAAACTAATGAGATAGCGGCTCGGATTCGTTTCATAGGGTGTGCATTCTTTTGTTTCAATTGTGTTATGCAATAATCACTCAAAATTTGAGCAGCTATTGCAGCTAGCAAACTGAAGGAAATTTTAGTCTGCATTATGCTCCATTATGTTGACAGTTCAGTAATTAATATGATTATTATAGAAACATGTTTGTTTCCTGTAATGTAGAAAAGTCACTCAGTAATATAGCTTTATGGGTATATACGTGCTATTTCATTACCAGGATGCATATATATTGTCGAGTAACATGGATGTGGCTGGATTTGTGTTTTTTTTAAGTAGAGTTAGTTGATAATAGTAATTAAATAGGATGCAACAGCCCATGAAAGAAAGGTGAAATCTTCACATCTGCTCGATCTAATTGTGCACAAGTCAAGCTCGAGTGATCTACCTAATGCCAAAGGAAATAATATGTCATCTAACACTTTGGAGACAAACCAAATTACATCATTCATTAAATGTGACAATGTCTACGCACAACAGAACCCTAACCATGTTGGGACAGTCCACCAAATGTATGTCTAAACAATTCCAACAAAGCCATGAAGACCCAACCATCCAAAGGTCGCATTAAACCATATACTGTCACTCTGATATGTTAGGAACTTAGGAATCCCAAGTTCAATGATGGAGATTCCTAGACTAATTAATCTGGAATGACATTGACTCAGAAAGATTTTATTTGATTCATGTGTCCAGACATATTTGACCACAATACATATTCCTATAACCATTTTATTTAATGTGGGACTAAATCTCCATATATGTTCCTTTATTAGACAGTTTGGACCAAATTCACAGCTGAAGCTAAATGGATGAAGATACGCCAAACATAAAACTTAGAAATATCAACCTCTTTTGCAAGCACCCATGCTTTCTTCTGAATATAATTTGTATGTGTGTTCAAATACATTCATGTTCTTACCATTGTTCTTCAACTATACAGTGTTGAGCAGAAATCAGAAGGACATGGCAGTGCACAGACAAAGTTCAAAGCCCAACCTTTAAATAAGAAGGTAAGTCGGGTCAGAATTAAGAGGAAGACATTCTTATGCATTTGTGAGCAAGTAATGACTTTAAGTTGAAACCCATATTGTTGGATTTGATCTAACACTTCAAACGCCTCCGAAGACTATTTTTTCCCTGAGGCTTCATATAGATAGTCAAGTGGTTGCAAAAATTTATTATACAAAGTAGCATGCTGGTTGATGAGAAGATTTATAGAACATCAGAAAATATTATTCTTTTTATTGTGCACTTTATATTTAGATCGTTAACACTATGAAATTTCAACTTATGCATCTCACTTTTGTTAAACTTGCTAAAAAAATTGTTCTGTTAGGTATACATCCACTTGTTATAGTGTGTTTGCAATTTGTATGCCCCACACATATCGAGCAAACTTCTGTAGGAAACCATCCATTTTGTAACAAAAGATGCATAGTGATAAAATTTATAAGGGTTTTTTCTTACACTGGTCCCTGAATTTAACATATTTTTAAATTTGGACCCCCATATCTCATATATCTTAAATAAGTTCCCCAAATCTATAAGTGTTCTTAAATAATAAGTCTGCCAAGTCTCAACTCCATAAGTTCTCTGAAATAAGTTTCTCAATGTTAAAAACTCCTAATTTAACAAGTTAACGAAACTCCATTAACGTTGCATCTTTGGCAGTCCCTTTTCCTAGATATTTTCCCAGGAAACTCTTTTCCCTGCCCGCTGCTTGCCATTTTTTGAGACGCCTCTATTGCAGGTATTTAGGCATAACTATCTAAGAAAGGTGAGGGGAAAACTAGCAAGAAGCGTAGTTAACTTAAGAGTTAACAATTGTTCACATAGAGAGACTTATTTAAGAAAACTTATAGACTTATAGTTTTGGGAACTAAACTTATACCAGATTTGGGAGACGTAGTTAGGAATACCTGTAGATTTGGGGGACTTATTTAAAACATATGAGATTCGAGGGACTTATTTTTAAAATAGGTTATATCTAGGGGACCAATATAAGAAAAATCCAATTTATGGATGTTCAGTTAATCTTTTAATAATCACAGGGACTATCAGATGGTTCTTGACAGTGCCCTTTTGCTGATAAGAGGGAACCAAAGAACTATACTCTCTCGTTTTAAGCTTGTGCCGCCTCATCTAGATTCCTTTTTCATCTTCAAGAAACTTTTGAGGCTTGCTCTCTGTTTGTAGAGGTTCAACTGTACTACAAACTGACTGCTTTCTATTGGCAGATTTTATCAAGCAAAGGTGATGTTGGTATCTTCCGAAGTAGCAAAAGGGAAACAACGAAACCCATGGTATCTAATTGTGAACTCACATTTGCTTCACATCCTTTGTTTCTCCTTTCTACAAGGGATTCAACTTTTCAACAAAAAACTATAAAAAAAAATTGTTTATTCTTTAGGGAATGATATTTGTTTCATGTTCTACTTTCTCCTTTTTACTAGGAATTCAGCTTTTCAACAAGCAAAAGATGTCATCAGGATCCACCAACTGAGCTTTTCAACAAGGTTGACTTCTTGCGCATTTTCACGCTTGGCAATAAAAGATTTCATTTGTTGAATTTTTTATTGCAGCACACATGATCTATCCTACCTATCCTGGCTATTGTTATGGTTCATATTTCCTCCCTCTTTTTAAGTTCTTACAGCAATTCTTGCTGAATGTTTTTTTGCCATAGCAGCTCTCTTTAAACACTGGGATGCATCAGTCTTCAGCATCATACACTATGTCGCTATGTAATTCCCATGGAGTTAATAAGGTTTTCATTTCTTTTCCTTTTTTTCCCCACTTGAAATCAGTGGTTTTTAGTGAGGTTCTCTGGGGTTTCCTTAAATGTGCTCATATGGCTCTTGACTTGTTGCAAGGATTTGAAAGAGAACATAAATTCTACTATCCAACAAGGGCACAAGGTAAGCTGCACAGCTATGAAATAAAGCAATGGAGTTAGTAAGGTTTTCAGTTCTTTTTCTTTTCTTTTTTTTTCCACTTGAAATCAGTGGGTTTTTAGTGAATTTTTGTGAGATTTCTTTAAATGTGCTCATATGGTTCCTGACTTGTTGCAAGGATTTCAAAGAGAACATAAATTCTACTCTCCTACAAGGCCATAAGGTAAGCTGCACAGCTATGAAATAAAACTATGGGGTTTCAATAGCTATAGGCATGTCCTTTTTCCTAATCATCACAACTATCTATCTGGTTGATTCTGAATTAGCAATTACCAACCTCCGTGTAGGATGTTCATGTGAAGGAAGAGCTCACTAGGCATGGAATCAAGGACATTGTGTCTAGGGCTTCCACTCTTCCTGATAATAGATCAAAATTGAATAAGCAGAGGTAAGCATGTATATACATATATAAATTACCCACTGGTCGTGAATATTTTTGGATTTTACCGGCGTACAAATGCTAGTTGCCTTGGAATTGATATGCCTTCATTTATCATAGAGAATGCTCATAATGACATAAAGGTTCCTCTTGTCTACTGCATGCTGTATGCAGCATCTAGTCTTTTCTAATAACTTTTTGGGTTCTAAGTTTGATATTATATTTGAGTAAATCAAGTTATCTTAGAGCTACGCATTGTACATGTAAGGCATTCTCGAGAACCCTCACTGTGTGCAAGTCCTGATATGTTTTTTCAACTTTTTCACAAAAAAAAAGAAAGTAAAATGTAAAAAAGAAAAAGAAAAAGAAAAAAGTATTGTTTGTGTATGATTGGTGGCAGATAAGCTTTCATGATAATTTACTTTATATGTATATGGTAGAAGGCCTTGTGCCTAGTTTA